AGATAAACCACAGAATTTATATGCCTGTATGTGTAACCAATGGACATACAGGCATTTATCCCAGGGATGCAAGACTGGTACAGTAAATGCAAATCAATAAATGTGATAGGCACATAAACAAAATAAAAGATAAACACCATATGATCCTATCAATACATGCTGAAAAGCATTTGACAATATCTAGCACCCATATCTTTTTTAAATTAATTTTTAATTTGATTTTAGAGAGAGAGAAAGAAAGAGGGAGAGAGAGATAGAAACACTGATGAAATAGAACATCAACTAGCTTTTGCTTGCATGCCCTGCACTGGGAATTTGGCACACAACAGAGCATGTGCCCTGACCGGGAATCAAACTGGCGAACTTGTGGTGGTGCATGGGTCAACATTCAACCACTGAGCCCCACCAACCCAGCCAGCACTCATTTCTCACAAAGACGCTAAGCAATATGAGAAGAGAGGGATCATATTGCAACATAATAAAGACCATATATGAAAAACCTACAGCCAACATTACTCAATGGGCAAAACCAAAAGCATTTCCTTTAAGAATGGGACAAGATTGAGATGTCCATTTTTGCCACTCATATTTAACATAGTACTGGAAGTGTTAACTACAGCAATTAAACATGAAGAAAAATATAAAGGGATCCAAATTGGAAATGAGGAAGTGAAACTGTCATTATTTACAGGTGACATGATATTATACATAGAAACCCTAAAGACGCCATAAAAATTTTACTAGGTTTGCCCTGGCCGGTTTGGCTCAGCGGTTAGAGCGTCGGCCTACGGTCCTGAGAGACCAGGGTTCGGTTCCCGCTAGGGGCGCGTACCTCGGTTGCAGTTTGTCCCTGGCCCTGGTCGGTTGTGTGGATGGCAGCCACTCGATGTGTTCTTTTCACATCGATGTTTCTCTCTCTCTCTCTCTGTTCCTCTCTCTCCCTCCCACTCTACCTGAACAAAAAATGAAAAATGTCCTCGGGTGAGGATAAAAAAAAAAAAAATTTACTAGGTTTAATAAATGAATAAGACAAAGTAGCAAAATACAAAATTAACATGAAGAAATTTATGGCATTCTTATACACCAAGAATGAACTCACAGAAAGTGAACCTAAAAAAAAAATCCCATTTACCACTGCAGAAAAAAAAAATTAAGATACCTAGGAATAAACTTAACCAAAGAAGAAAAGGACCTGCTCTGAGAAAACTACAGGACATTGAAAACACAAGTAGAGGAAGATATAAAAAAGTGGAAGCACATACCTTGTTCATGGATTGGAAGAATTAACATCATTATAATGTCCATACTACCCAAAGCAATTTATAGATTCAATGCAATCCCAATTAGAATTCCAATGACATATTTCAGGAAGTGGAACAAATACTCCAAAAGTTTAGATGAAACCTAAAATATGCTGAATAGCCTCAGCAGTCTTGAAAAAGAAGAACGAAGTAGCAAGGATTACAATACTGGATATCAGGTTATACTAAAACGCCATTGTAAAAACAGCTTTGACACTCTCCTCCCCAGTGTCAATGGGGTAAAAAAGGAGAAACATCTGTAACAAAAATAAAATTAAAAAATAAAAATAAATAAAAAATAAACACATACACACACACACAAAACTAATAAACAAACAAACAGCTTTGGACTGGCACAAAAACAGGCATATAGATCAATGGAACAGAACAGAGAACCCAGGAATTGACCCAAGACATTATGCTCAATTAATATTTGACAAAGCTGGCCAGCTACATGCAAAAAAACAAAAAAGAAACTAGGCCACCAACTTACACCATACACAAGAATAAACACAAAACGGATAAAAGACTTAAATGTAACTTGTGAATCCATAAGAATCCTAGAAGAAAATGTAAGGAACAAAATTTTAGATATCACATGCAGCAGAATTTTCACTGACACAATGCCTAAGGCAAGGGAAACAAAGAAAAAAATGAATAAATGGGACTATATCAAACTAAAGAGCTTCTGTACAGCAAAAGAAACAAGCATCAAAATGGAAAGGGAACCCACTATATGGGAGAGCATAATTGCTAATAATACATCAGATAAGGGATTACTTTCCAAAATATATAGAGTACTCATACAACTCAACAATAGGAAGACTAAGAATGCAATGAAAAAATAGGCAGAGGACCTAATAGACACCTTTCCAAATAGGACATACAAATGGCCAAGAGACATATGAAAAAATGCTCAGCGTCACTAATCGTCAGAGAGATGCTATGAGGTATCACCTCACACCAACCAGAATGGCTGCCATCAACAAATCATCAAACAAGTGTTGGTGAGGGTGTGGAGAAAAGGGGACTCTAGTACACTGCTGGTGGAAATGCATACTGGTGCAGCCATTATGGAAAACACTATGGTGTTTCCTCAAAAACTGAAAATTGAATTGCCATTTGACCCAGTGATTCCACTTCTAGGGATATATCATAAGAAGCCTGAAACACTAACCAGAAAGAATATATGTACCCCTTTGTTCATAGCAGTAGTATTCACAATTGCTAAGATCTTGAATCAGCCCAAGTGTCCACTGTCGATGAGTGGATAGAAAAGCTGTGGCACATATACACAATGGAATACTATGCAGCTGTAAGAACGAAAGATCTCTTATCCTTTGAGATGACCTGGAGAGTATTATGGTAAGCAAAATAAGTCAAGCAGAGAAAGAGAAATAACACATGATCTCACTTATTTGTGGAATATAATGAACAAAATTAACTGATACAAAATAGACCCAGAGACACAGACCTAGGGTACAGACTGACAAACCTCAGAAGAGGGGAACAGAGGAGAGGGAAGACATAAACTTATATGCATATAAGCATAACCAATAGACATAGACAACAATGCTGCAGGGTGGGGGTGGGGACGATCGAGTGGAGGGTGTCAATGGGGGATAAAGGAGAAACATTTGTAACAAAAATAAGTAAATAAAAACAGGTGGTGTATCCATATACCACATAAAAGAAAGAAATATGATACTGTGAACCCTGAGAAAAAACACACCTAGCAAGAAGGGCTCCTTCCTGGTGGCTAAATGAGCTTAAATAAAAAAAGCAGAAGCCTAACAGCCATTTCTGTACAAGGACCTCTCATGCAAACTGCACTTCAGGGAGAAACTTCTGTGCTAAACTACCTGCCTCTGCCCTAAACTGCCCATCATTGGAGCCAGTCCTTATAAAGAGTTCCTGGAATCCTATTTCAACCAATAGGATGGAGGCTTCCCCATCCAATCAAACCAGCTCTATACTAACCAATCTGGACATTGCCTTTTGGATCAAAAAACTGTGAGAATTTGGCATCCTTTTTTTGTGAGAACAGATCAGTCAGAAACCTGGGGCAGAGACTCCTGTTTATATAAGTCAGCTCCTTTCCCTTTCCACAAAAGATTGAAGACTGTTTCCCTGGCTGAGCTGAAACACTGATGACAGCAGAGTGAAGCAGACTGGCATGGAGTGGAGCAGAGCAGAGTAGATCAGGGAGGAGCAGAACAGAGGTGTCTAGCCAAAGAGAGCCTGGCTCCAGGACTGTCCTACAGTTGTGCTGTTTTCACAGTCATGCTGTACCACAATTGAGCTGTTTTGCACTGAATAAAGTGTCCTTCTTCACCACATCCCAAATTGGGGATTCCTAATGGTGTTTGAATTTGTGCCAAGGACCATCAGTTGACAATACATGCTACAACATGGATGAACCTTGAAAATATTCTTAGGTGAAAGAAACTAAACTATAGGGCAACATATTTAATGATTCTATTTATATGAAATGTCCAGAATGGGCAAATCCCTAGAGACAGAAAACAGATTAAGTGTTGGCCAGGGGCTGAGAAAGGGAAGAATGAGGAGCAACTGCTTAGTGGGTATAATGTTTACTTTTAGGGTGATGAAAATATTTTAGGAATAGAGGTAATAATTACAACTCTATGGATGTTCTAAATGCTACTAAATTGTACATTTTGGTTAAAATGGTGAACTTTATGTTACATAAATTTTACCTCAATATAGCAAATCATTTTAAATATCAAATAAGATTAAATATATATTCTTTTTTTTGTTAATCCTCACCTGAGGATATGTTTTCATTTTTAGATAGAATGAAAGGGAGGGAAAGAGAAAAAGAGAGAAATTGATGTGAGAGAGACACATTAATTGGTTGCCTCCCGCATGACCCTGACCAGGCTAGGGATCGAATCTGTAACGCAGAGCCCTTGATTGGGAATCAAACCTGAGACCCTTCGGTGTGTAGGTCAATGGTGAAACCACTGAGCCAATAGGCCAGGGCTAAATATATATTCCTTAAAATTAAATAAATTATTCTCTTTTGAAGACTTTTATATTTATCTTAAATTCTTCATCTTTATATCACAATGAAAATGTATATTATTCATAATTTTAATCATTTTTTATTGAGGTGTAATTGACATAATATTAGTTTCATATATATAATAGATGGTTCAATATTTATATATATTGCAAAATAACCACCACAATAAGTCTAGTTAACATCTGTCATTATATGTAGTTACTAAATTTTAAAAATTTGTGATAAGGACCTTTAAGATTTACCTGCATAGAAACTTCCAAACATAAAATACAATATTATTAACTATAGTTGCCACAGTGTATATTATGTGTCCCCATGACTTATTTATTTTATGACTGGCAGTTTGTAGCTTTTGACTCTTATCAGTCATTTCAGCCATCCCTTATACCCTTCCTCTGGCAACCAACAATCTGTTCTCTGTATCTGAGTTTGTTTTTTGGTTTCATGTATAAGTGATATTATATGTATTTGTCTTTGTCTGACTTAATTCATTTAGCATAATTTATTCATTTATTTCTAAGCTTTTATTTCAATTTGTTTACTAGAATAACAATAAGATACACGTGTGGTTACTCAGCTCCAGTGAGGTTGGGGAGAAATGAGGTAGAGAATGGGGAGAGCAAAACCTCAGGGAAGACCCAGGTACTTACTTGTGTCTCTAGCTGTATTTAAGGTCAGTGAATCATTGGGCAGGGACTCAGTTAGTCTTTTCAAGATATGCTCAGTGTTGAGGAGCAGGTTATTGGCCACAATGTTTTTCTCTGAGTGGGGCTTGGTCTCCAGGTCCTCAGGAGTCTCCAGCAGGTCATCTACCACCTGTATGAATTTCTGGGGCAATGGACACAGAGCCAGTGGGCCATCTACCAGAGAGGCTACAGGAAGACTGCCCACTCAGCCTGAGAAAACAGACTCTAGAAATTGTTTATTTGGGGATAAAGATAGTACCAAATAGGATTCCCTGTGTCTTTGCCCCCTGCAATCCAGCCATTCAGAGGTCAGTCCTGTTCATGAATGCTAAGGATGATGTAAACTGAATGGGCAGGAACAGCAAGAAGAAAGGTGTTAGTAGGAGTATGTAGGTCTAACAGTGAGTACAAACACCTGCATATCTGCTCTTCCCACCCACCCTGGGAAAGTCAGTGACTCAGAGCAGGGCATCATTGTATTGGGGTCTGTCTCTTCCCAGACCAAGGCTTCCTCAGGCCTCTATGGGCTACTTCCATTTGCCTCCTTTAGGTACTGTCTTTACCAGGATGTGGTCCGCAGCCGAGGCTGACTTGGAGTCTCTGACCAAATCATCAATTCTGTTAAAGAAGCGGTCCAGCCTCTGCGATGAGAAGAGATATGATGATCAGAGAGCCTCACAGGTGGATGGGGGAACTTGAGGAAAATAGGTGGGTGCTGCATGTGGCACAGAGGTATTTCCTGCCTTTTCGTCTCTGCTGGAGCCACTCACCTTGCTGTTGATTCCAGGGCGTGCAGTCCAGTGGGGGAAGGAGATCCCTGGAGTGGACAAAACCACAGTTCATTAGGGGTGTGTGTGTGTTAGGGTGGTGTCTGGGGCCCAGGCTGTGTACCTTTCCAGATTGTCATTTGGTAATTAATGGACCTTGGTTTGAAAATAGAAGCATCTGGGAGGTCCTACTGTCCTCCCTGTTTAGTGGGCACCTTTTCTTATTCACATGGAGGCCTCATAGTGTATATTAATGTGGTGGCCTAGATGCTCTGTTGTCCAGATGTGGACGGAATTAGCCTGACTCCCACTTGTCTACCACCCCCAGTAACCTAAGTTTCCTGGAAAGTGCCCGGCTGGGGTGGGGGACACCACAGCCGCCTGTGTCCCACACTGAGGATTTGGACAGAGGTCAGAGTAGGCTTTCTTGGGAATCCAGGGCAGGGGAAATGCCACATTTCCTGGCCAACACCTGACCTGCCTTTCAGTGCATGCTAGCCTTAGTTCTCATTTCCTAAGGGCGGCTCCTCACTGACTGAGTGCTCCTTGGAATCCCATTGACGTGGTCAAAGCAGTGCTCTCCCTTCCACACTAACCCTAGGACACCTTGATAGAGATGGACCAAGAATCATCCCCGAGACAGGTCCCTCAAGGAGGAGGCTATAGGGCAGGGCAGGAGAATGAAGAAGATACTGGACAAGATAGGGCCACCCAGACAGTGGCACCAAGTCCAGGTTGGACACTGGGCACTGATGTCCAGCCAGACATTCCTGGGTGCTTTTCTCTCCCCACCAAAGGCATCCCTTGGACTGGTAGGAAGTTGTAAGAATCTACACCTGAGGAAGGCCAGCGAAGATAAGGGCTGGCTGGCTGGAGAGGGAGCAGAAACTGATGACTGAAGGGTGGCAGATGTTTCTGTCCCCTGGCCCCTTAGTTTCCCACAGGGACACAGACCTGTGTACTTCCCTGAGTGAGGCAGTGGTTCCTGATGGTGCCCTCTTTCAGGGTCTTGTTCAGATGGGAGCCTCTTTTGTTTACTCGACTTTTCAAGTACGTGTGTACGTGGTGAGGTCCATGTCATGTTGCTCAGACTTGACACAACATTCTTCTGGGTTGTCTTCAGTTCGTAAACTGAAATTATTGAGGAGGGTCAGAGAGGTCACTTGTGCAGGATAATTGATGGAGGTTAAGTGGCTGAGAAGTGGGGTCTGGGTGCCAGGGTCGTTGGCCAGGGACATGGCTGGCTAGGGAAGGTGGGCCTGTCCTTGAATCTCCCCTTTCCTGTTTCTGGACAGGGTCCCTGAATCCATCACTGTCTGGGAAGTCTGAGAGTGTATCTGGAGTGTTCAAGCCCATGGGAGTTCTGGTAGGAGAAGGTCTCATTGTGGAAGTCACTGATGATGGCAAAGAAGACAAATATTGCATTGGAATACAGAACACTGTAAGCTCCCGAAGTATCTTGAATGTCATCATTTAAAAAAAATAAAATGTAAGTAAGAAGTCAGGTGGGTAGGGCAGTGGAGGGGGGCACATTCCAAACATAAAGAAGTGACCCTTTGTGGAGTGTTCTGAGCCTTGCAGTTTGGAGAGGGTGGGTGACCAAGTAGGTACACAGGACAGTGGGGCAAATGACTTCAAATTTCATGGACAAATAGATGGAAGATATGGAGTGGTTTATACCTTGACACGTGTTCTCACTTTCATTCCGGAACGTCTTTGCTCCAGAATCAAGCTCATATCCCGGGTTGCACATGCAGTAGTAGCTCCCCTCCGTGTTCTGGCAGTCTGCGAACTTTCCACAGGACAGTGTCAAGGGTGGTTCACACTCATTGATGTCTGGAACACAACAGGACAAAGGGTCACCTCCCAAGAGTGTAAGTTTCCACATGGCAGAGACTGTGGAGTCCAGCTTAACTCTGTCCTGGAGAGTGGACAGAACTCAGCTCCTGGATGGCCCTCCTGGGGCTGGACAGAACTAGCTGCTTCAGAGCCTGGTGACCTCTCTTTTCACTTCTGCCATCTGGCTGGTCCGAGGGCACCTACACTCAGACACTCTGCTGTGTCATGATGGGGCTGGAGGGAGCTCTGCATCTCTCTCTCCAGGCCTTGAGGGGATAGTCAGAGGCACTGACTCAGGCTCCATACCCTCCACTGTGGTATTGTTTGCACCAGGCCTCCTGTCAGGGTCAGTGCGGCAGTAACTGCTGCCCTCTATGCTAAGGTAGTAGAAGGAGTCATGTTGGGGGGTTGTCCAGGCTGACATCGTTATTCACACCTGAAGAGTAATTCCCATCACTCACAGTGGCCCAAGTACACCTCACACTCCTCGTCAGGCACTCCCCCAGCTCACAATGTCAGACCTTTTCCAAGTGCCCCAGGATGTCTCTGGGAGGATCTTGCTATCTCCACCCCACTTGGGTAAGATCCCCCCTTTTCAGAAGTAGTAGGAGATGTGAAATGAAGAGGCATCAGGAAGCTGTTCACAGCTGAGTCACTGCAGAGTTTTCTGGCATCTTATCTCTCCCTGTTCTCTAAACATGAGAGACAGATGCCAATAACCCAGGTGTCCTTTGAGTAGCTCAGAGACCCACAGAGAAGGAACGGGACACTGTTGGCTAAAAACAATGGTTTGATAAGAATCACATATACAAGAATGAATCAAAATGAAGGAACAGAATAGTTGGTCCTGTATGTACCAATCAGGGGACCAAAGACTTTAGAACTTGATAGGACTCTCAGCTGGCTCCCCTTCATCAGAGTTTCTTCTTTGAACTTGTGAGTTTCTCTTCTAAGGTCCCCATCCTAGGCTATGGGTATCAGGACCAAGTGAGAAAAGAAGTATGAAGGATGTCTCTGCTCTCAGATGGTGGCAATGTTTGCAGACCTGTCTTCCAGGTTAAGGTATGGGGTGAGGTCACCTGAGGGACTGAGATACAGTTACAGTAGCAGCAGGATCTCCATCCATGTGCACCCAGTCTACAAATCTCTACAAGACACGCACATGCAAATGTACAAAGGACCCTTTAGGAATGCCTCCAGGGTCATGGATGGGCTGTGCATTACTCAACATTGTTTTTCTTTTTCCCTGAAAAATTTTACTTTTCACCCAGTGTTAAATAACACATGGATACTTAGAAAACAAAGAAAATGTAAAGAAAGACAACAAGGAAATTACCTATAAATCTACTACATAGCCTACTGGGGAATTTCAAAGATTTTTAAAACAATTTTTTTTATTTTATTCTCATTGTTTCAAACACAGGAATGTTTTGAAATTATCAATAAATATGTATCTAAGACTATATTGAGTAGATGAAGAACATTTCTTCATGTAAAAATTATAATTTCTTTTTTGCCACTTGTTTACTGTGGTAAAATTTACATAACATAAATTTACCATCTTATCATTTTAATTAGTATACTTTCCTTTTCTGTTCTTGTATTATTGAAGAATAAAAACTCCAGTTTTAGTCCTGTATGTAGGTTTTACCACCTTATTAATTGTGGGACTTTGGATAATTTGCTCAATCTCTTTGATCCAAATTATAATATTTTAAACAACAATATTACCAAAAAACCATAAAGCCCCTAGAATAAAACTTAGGGGATGAATTCCTTGACATTGGTCTTGGGAGTGATATTTTGAATATGACGCTAAAAGCAAAAATTAATAAGTGGAACTACATCAACCTAAAAAGCTTCTGTATAGCCAACACAATGATTAACAAAATGAAAAGGAAACTTACAATTTGGGAGAAAAGGTTTGCAAGTCATATATCTGATAAGCAGTTGATATCCAAAATACTACACAAAGAACTTATATAACTCAACAGAAAAAAAGAACAACTAGAAATTGAATTTAGAAATGGGTAGTGCATCTGATAGACTAATCACATAAACCTGATTGCCCACTTCCCTCTTACTACCCTGCCCTGTCTCCTCTCTCTAATCCTTGACAAAATGCTTCTGTGCTGCTCTCAAGGATGAGGACTCTGGATGCACCCCCCATACCTCTGTATGCCCCTCCACCACCCCAAACCCCTATACCATCACATCTCTCAAAGATGCCGGTGAGGATCTCCCCAGACGAAGAGCTGAATCCCTGAGCACAGCGACAGGCAGTGGCATTGACACATGTGGAGTTCAGAGGGCACCACCAAGCACAGTCTTCAGGGGTAGCAGCTGTGGGAATGGAGACCATGGTCAGAAGGCCCCAAAATGGAGGAAGTCAGTTACCAGCTGGGGATCCAAGGATAGAGGAGGGAAGGGAGGGAGTGATGGTTGCCACTGGACTTGGAAGAGCTCAGAAAATTCTGGACATTTAGGGAGGAAGAAATAACTTCTCTTATTTCCAGAAGACCATCTCTGGGTCTCACCTACAGAGTAAGCCTCCTTTCCCCTTGTTGGTGAGAGGACCCCAAAAAGCACTCCCCAGCTTATGTCACTAATGGGCCTGGCTGGGCAGACTCACCTTTAAGATTTTCCACTGCAGCACTCCATGTCAACAGCAGATGCAAAGAGAGTCCTGAAGAAGAAAGACAAAAGGATTATAAAGATAGAAAAGGGGATCTGCAATTTCCACCCCTGTGCACATGTCCATTACCACCTGGGGAGGTGGCTCTGTCCCTGCAGCCCATAGCTTTCTGGCAGCTTCTCTGAGGTTTCTATACTTTACTTGGAATCAAGGATTCAGTCTTTCCCTTCCATTTCCCAGGACTGCCCAAGAGGTCAGTCATTGACAGCAGCAGCCCTCAGGGAACCTCGGGTGCTACAGGTAAAGGGACAGAACATAAACACAGCTGATGACAGGGCCACAACTTAGAAATTCCAATCTTTTCCAATGGGGAAGGTAAATTTTAAGGGAGAAATCCTCAGATTGTTTTGCCTTTTCCCATGATCACACTCTGTTCTTTGGCAATGGCAGAAACCTGTTTTGGAAAGGTGCTATTCTCTCCTTCCTGGTGAATAGGTGCCATTTCTTATTCACATGGAGGTGCCCTATTGGTGAATGTGGTGGCCTCAATGCTCTGTTGTCCAGATGTGGATGGCCTGAATTCTCCCTGTTTTTCAGCCCCTGTGCCCTTGCTTCCCTGGGCAGCTCCAAGGTGGGGTGGAGACATCATGGTTACCTGTGTTCTAGCCTGAGGATTTGGACAAAGGCCAGGGTGGGCCTTCCTGGGAACTAAGTGCAGGAGAAATGCTGCATTCTCTGAGCAGTACTCATCTTGGCTCCCAATGTTGGCCCTTGTCCTGCCTCCTCCAGGACAGCTGCTCTCTGCCTGAATTCTCCTTGGAACTCTGGTGAGACTGGCAGGACACAGCTTTTCCATCCAGGCTAACTCTGAGACTCAAGCTCCATGGAGCTGGCCCAAGACCTACCCATGAGCCTGTCTCTTCAAAGGGCTTGCAGGAAAAAATGAGGAGAATGAAGATGATGCCAGACAAACCAGAGCCTCTCAGACAGTGGATGCCAGACTGTGGTGGCTAATGAGGGTTGATATCCAGCTACACAGGCTTGGAGTGGTAGAGGTGCCTCTTCTGATCACCACAAAGCATCCTCTGGATTGTCAAAAAGTGATGAGAATCCACTTCTGAGAAAGGCCAGCAGTAGGTGAGGGCTGGATAGCTGAAGAGGAGAGCAGGTGCTGATGGGTGAAGGGTGGCAGCGATTTCTGTCATCTGGCTCCTTGGACTCCCACCAGGGACACAAACCTGTGGGTCCTTCTGAGGGGGTTCAGCCTCCATTATCTGTGTCCCAGTAGTCTGATCCCTCATGTGGCCTGAGTTGACCTCCACAAGAGAGGATTGGGTCTGGGGCAATGGTGTCTAATTATATACTCCCTTTCAATCTCATTCAGATAGAAGCTTCTTCCATTTAGTCAACTTTCTGAGTATGTGTGGAGTGGTCTATGTCATCCTGCCCATCCCCAATACAACATTCTCCTGGGTCCTTATCATCCTCGTTGCCCATAGACCCATGAACTGAAATTATTGGATTGGATCAGGTCGGAGCCTTGCTTGGAGAAATAGAAGCAGCTGAATGGCTGAGAAGTGAGGTCAGGGTGCAAAGGGGGGTTTCACCAGTGCAGTTGTTGACTAGAGCAGGGCCAGTTGGGAAACATGGGCCCACCCTTGACTCTTTGCACTCCCACATTTCTGAACAGGGTGCGTCAAGGCCTGAGGGGTCTGAGAGTGCTCCTGGGGTGGACAATCCCATGCGGATTCTGGTGGGGGAAGAGCTCATCCTGGCAGTCATTGATGAAGAAATAAAGGATGAGTATTGCACTGGAATGCAGCACCCTGTGATCTCCTGAAGTATCTTGAATGCCACCCCTTTCTTTGTTTTATGAAAATAAGATGGCAGGTGGTAAGAGGATTTCCAAAATTACGTAAGTGGCTCTTGATGGGGAGCATTCAGAGCCTTGGAGTCCAGAGAGGGTAGGTGACCTGGTAGGTGCCCAGGCTACCCCTATGATGGCCCAGAGAAAGGGTTGAGAATCTCAAACCTAATGAATGAGAAAATGGAAGACATGGGATCCTTCTTACCATCACACGGTTTGTCAAAATCAATGCTGGGCATTGACTCTGAAACAAGCCTGTAATCATCTCTGGGGCATTCGCAGTAGAACGTATTGAAGTCTTGGCAGTTTAAATATACTCCACAGGACGCTTCTGAGTCTGGGCCACACCCCTTGATGTCTGGAACACAACAAGATACAATGTTGCTTTTCAAAGGCATGAGTTCCCACAGGGAAGAGACCCTGGCCTCCAGTCTGACCCTGACATGGGGGCTGGACTGACACAGATCCAGGGTTGCACTCCTGGGGCTGGGCTGGGCAGAGCCAGCTGCTCCAGAGCTTGCTGACTCCTCTGCTCATCTTTACTCTCTGGCTGGTCTGAGGGCACCTGAATTCAGACACTCTACTGTATCATGATGGGACTTGAAGGGGTCTGCATCCAGGCCTTGAGGGGTAGAAGAGGCACTGACTCAAGCTCCAAACCCCTTTTTGTGGTGCTATTTGCATCATTGGCAACCTGGGAGGTGACTATGGATTTAAAAGCTACCCTCAATCTGAGGTGATGGAGGGAGTTATGGCTGGGGGCTGTACAGGGTGATACTCATCACACACCTAAAGATAGAGCCAGATGTCAGGCCCCTGCCAATGGATGGCTTCCACTTCCCTTTAACCACAGTGATCTAAGTACACCTCACTCTCCTTGTCAGGCACCCCCCCCCCAGCTCCCAATGTCAGGCTTTCACAGATGCCCCAGGATATCTCTGGGAGAGTCTTTCTATCTCTACCCAGGGTGCAATACCCCATCACCAGAGGCAATAGGGGATGTTAAGTAAAGAAACAGCATAAAGGTGATAACAGCTGACACTGGGGGTGTTTTCTGGCATCTTATCTCTTTATTCTATCTAAACATGAAAGATGCCCATGAGCCAGGTCCCCTTTGAGTAGCTCAGAAACCCATTGAGCAGGTGCTGGACACCACTGAATAGCAACAACAACAATTTAATAAGAAGCAAGGACACAAGATGAATCAAAATGCAGGAACAGAATGTTTGACACCATACATTCTAATTAGGGGACCACAGACTTTAAAACCTGAAAGGACTCATGGGGTCATGACTCAGAGCAGAAAATTGGTCTCCCCAAGCCAGAGGTCCTTTTTTTGAATTAATAGATTTCCCTTTCAGTGCCTAGGCTATGGTGTTAGCATCAGGACATTAGAGAAACTGAGAGGGATACACATCTGTGGCATTCATGTTCAGCCCTCACCTGGGCAGTGGGTATTTTCTCCTCTTTTCAGATGATAGCAATGGCTGGAGGCCTGCCTTTGAATTTAATTAGATGGGGTAGAGTAGAGTTGGGGAGAGGTGGGAATAGGTGTGTGGGATAGAAAGACATGGCAATGAGAAATTCTTCAACCTGACAAGTCGTGTCCTCAATAAGGGAGCTGGTTTGCAGACCAAAAAAAAAAAAAAAAAGGCTGAAGGAGTTTACTACCACCAAACTAGCACTGCAAGACGTGCTAAAGGGACTGTTTTAAGAAGGAGGAGGAGAGAGAGACAGAGACAGAGAGAGGAACACAGGCATAAAGAATAAAAATGGCAACAAATAAGTACCTATCAATAATAACCTTAAATGTAAATGGTTTAAATAATCCAGTCAAAAGACATAGGGTAGCTGATTGGATAAGAAAATGTGACCCACATATATGCAGTCCACCTTAGAACAAAAGACTCACACAGGATGAAAGTGAAGGGATGGAAAAAAATTTTCATGCAAATGGAAATGAAAAGAAAAAAAAAATCTGGGGGAGCAATACTCATATCTGATAAAATAGACCTCCAAATGAAGGCCATAAGAGACAAAGAAGGTCACAACGTAATATTAAAGAAATTGATACAGCGAGAGGATATAACCTGGGAAACATATATATACCCAATATAGGAGCACCAAAATATATTAAAAAGCTTCTGGAAGACTTCAAGGGAGACACTGACAGCAATACAATGATAATAGGGGACTTTAACACCCACTAACATCACTGGATAGATTCTAGACAAAACTTTAAAAAGGAAACAGAGACCCTAAAAGGTGCAATAGATCAGATGGATTTAATTGATATTTACAGAACATTTTACCCCAAAACTGCAGAATATACATACTTCTCAAATGCACATGGGACACAAACTAAGTCTCTACAAATTCAAGAAGACTGAAATCATATCAAGCATCATCATGAATCACAATAGCATGAAACTAGATATCAATTACAATAAAAACAGTCAAAAACATTCAAACACATGGAGGCTGAATAGCATGTTATTAAACAATGAAAGCATTACCAAGGAGACCAGGGAAGAAATACAAACTTCCTGGAAACAAATAAAAATTAATAAACAACATCAACAACAAAAAACTATGGGATTCAGCAAAAGCAATCATGAGAGAGAAGTTCATAGCAATACAGGCCTACTTCAAGAGAAACAATTTCTAATAAATTATCTACCTACAGGGTGAAGAATGAGAAAGAAAACAAAAAGAAAAACCCAGAGTAAGTAGAAGGAAGGAAATAATAAATATCAGAGTGGAAATAAAAGGCAGAGACCAAAAAGCAATACAAGCTCAAGGAAACCAAGAGCTGGATAGATTCTTTGAAAAGATAAAGAAGATCGAGTGACCTTTAGCCAGACTCACCAAGAAATAAACAGAGGACCTAAATAAATAAAATAAGAAATAAAAGAGGTGAAGTAACAACTGATACTACAGAATAAAATGGATTGTAAGAAAATACTATGAATAATTATATGCCAACAAATTGGCCAACTTAGGAAAAATAGACAAATTCCTAGAATCATAGTCTTTTAATACTCAACCAGGAAGAGTCAGAAAACCTGAACATACCAATAACAACTGAGGAAATTGAAGCAGTAATCAATAAACTCCCAGCCAAAAAAAAAAAAAAAAAAAAAAAAAAGCCCTGGTTGGGATGGCTTCACAGGGGAGTTTTACCAAACATTCAAAAAAGAACTAACATCTATCTCCTCAAACTATTCCAAAAAATTTAAGAGAAAGGAATACTTTCAAGCTCTTTTTATGATGCCAGCATAATCTTAATTACAAAACCAGTTAAAGACACTGCAAAGGAAGAATATGACAGGTCAATGGCCCTGATGAACATAGATGCCAAAAACCTCAATAATATGTTAAATTGAATTCAGCAATATATATAAAAAATTATTCACCATGACCATGTGGGATTTATCCCAGGGATGCAAGGCTGATACAATATTTGAAAATCAATAAATGTGATACACTACATAAACAAAATAAAAGATTAAAATTATATGATCAATATCAATAGATGTTGAAACAGCATTTGACAAAATCCAGCACCCATTTTTGATAAAAACTCTAAGCAAAGTGGGAATAGAAGGATCATACCTCAACATAATAAAGGCCGCATATGACAAACCTAAAACAAACATCATAATCAATGGGCAAAAACTAAACGTATTTTCCTTAAGAACAGGAACAGGACAGGAATGTCTGCTTTTGCCACTCTTATTCCACATAATACTGGAAGTCTTAGCTACAATGATCAGAAAAGAAGAAAAAATTAAAGGCATCTGAATTGGAAAGGAGGATGTGAAACTGTCATTATTCACAGATGACATGAGGACACAGAATTCACATCCAGAAATAGATGGCATTTTTATACACCAATATTGAGCACTAAGAAAGAGAAACTAAAAAACAATCCCATTGACCATTGTAACAAAAAATTAAGATAACTAGGAGTAAATTTAACCGAGGAGGTAAAAGACCCGTTCTCAGATAACTACAGGACATTTAAAAAAGAAATAGTGGAAGATGCAAACAAGTGGAAGCATATACCATGTTCATGGACTGGAAGGATTAACACAATTAAAATGACCATATTACCCAAAGCAATAGATAGGTTCAATGCAATCTCTATTAAAATGCCAAAGGCATATTTCACAGAGCTAGAACAAAAAACTACAAAAGTTTATATGGAACCAAAAAAGACCCCAAATAGCCACAGTAATCTGGAAAAAGAAGAATAAAGTTGGAGGGATCAAAATACCAGATAATATCAGATTATATACAAATCCACTATAATCAGAACGGCCTGGTACTGGCACAAGAGCAGGCATACAGATCAGTGGTAGAGAACAGAGAACCCAGAAATTAACCCAAGACATTACACTCAATTAGTATTTACAAAGGAGATAAGAGCACCCAATGGAATAAAGACGGTCTCTTCAATAAATGGTGTTGGGTAAATTGGACAGGTACATGCGAAAAAATGAAACTAAATTACCAACTTATACCATATACAAGAATAAAGTCAAAGTGGATAAAAGACTTAAATGTAAGTCATGTAACCATAAAAATCCTAGAAGAAAACGTAGCACCAAAATTGCAGACACCACACAAAGCAGAATTTTCACTGATACATCACTTAGGGCAAGAGGAACAAAGTAAAACAATTAATAAATGGTACTACAGCAAACCAAAAAGCTCTGCACAGCAAAAGAAACTAGCATCAAAATGAAAAGGGAACCCACTGTATTAGAGAACATATTTGCCAATGATATACTGGATAAGGGGTTAATCTCCAAAATATATAAAGTGTTCATACAACTTAACAAAAGGAAGACAAACAATCCAATTAAAAACGGGCAGAGGACCTGAATAGACACTTCTCTAAAAAGGACATACAGATGGCCAAAAGACATAGCAAAAAATGCTCAGTGTCACTAATCATCAGAGAGATACAAATTAAAATGACTATGACATATCACCTCACACCTGCCAGAATTACTACTATCAGCAAATCATCCAACAAGTGCTGGTGAGGCTGTTGAGAAATGGGGACTCTAGTACACTGCTGGTGGGAATGCAGATTGGTGCAGACACTATGGAAAACAATATGGTGTTTCCTCAAAGAATTAAAAACGGAACTCTCATTTAACCTAGTGATCCCACATCTAGGAATATATCCTAAGAGACCTGAAATACCAATGAGAAAGAATATATGCACCCCTTTGTTCATAGTTGTGCTATTTACAATAGCTAAAATTTAGAAACAGCCCAAGTATTCATCAGGAGATGATAAAAAAGTTGTGGTACATTTACACAGTGGAATACAATGCAGCTGTA